ATACAGGAAGACATCATGAGCCACAGACTATCCAAGTATCATTCTAGATGTAAATAGGAAAGAACTGTTAATGATTTTACATTAAATGTAAAATTTGTAAAGGATGGCAGAAAACATAATGTTTCCCAACCTTTAACACAGATGTGTGTTTGTGTGATGTACTCCATTTTTTGATGAAAGGTTACTCAGGCAACAATGTGACATGTTTGTTGAAACCTTGATGCATTCCCTGCATTCGTACTGCAACATTAAAAACAACAGCAGAAAAAGTGTGTGTGTATGTGTGTGTGTGCGCAAACATTATGCAGACACAGATGCTGTCAAGACAGTGAGAGGGGAGCAGTTGGCAGAATACGCATGGGGGATGTAGTGCATCCCTGCTATTTGATGACACTGAGTCGAGTCTGTGTTGTGATTATGCAGTTTTGTTCATTTGCATGTTGTTAAAAGCTTTGTTGCTGCACTGAACTATTAGAGCCAAAAAGAACTTTAGATTTAAGTAAATACAAGCATCGGTGGAAAGAAAAGCAAAAATAACATCAGTGCTAAATCAACATATTTGAGTTAGTAAATGACACATAGTCACTTTATCACACTATCTATTGATCCTGTTCTTACTTTATCGTGTTCATTGCAACAGAAGTTATTGTTCTTTTTCTTGAAAAGATTCTGTAAAATGTAAAATGTAACATCTATGAGGTACCCTGGGACACTCCACCTCCCAAACTAGGCAACATCACTTTAAGAGCCAACCCCCACCCGTGTTAATGCCTGGATATAACTTCAGTGCCCCTCGAGTCTCCACACTCTCTGCTGGCTGAGGTTCAGAGAAATTTAAACTGATAGTGTAACATTAGCTCGGAGAGGCTTCAGCAGATGCAGCAGAGGTGGAGAGTGACAGAATAAGGTATATAAATGACTGGCAGGGAGGGTGTAAATGTGTAACTAGTCATCACTCTAAACTACTAGCTTACTAGTAATAGTAGTTGTAGTGTTTCTACTATTGTAGTATTTCCACAACTTCAACCACCCTCAGGGGGAAGTAACAAAGAATAGATTTGCAGCCACTGATAGCACCATGAATTGCGCATGACTTGCATCAGATAGCACATTGCTATCTGCCCTGTCTCATGGTCCGATTCACAAAAGATATATATGATATTACAGCACAAATACGCCCAAGTCTTTCAGTCCAAAGTGCCTTTGTTTTGCGTCTGTTAAATGTTCATCTGCAATTTTCTGTAGTAATCCCAGTAGTGCACTGTTTGTCCTTACAGTGTACTTAAGTATCATCATGGTTAAGCAACATTTCAGTCAAAAAATGTTATAAATGCATTGACAGTATGTACAATGTAATGGGCAGAGCTTCCGTGTCTGTGAATAGAAGCCAACGTGGAAGTGTCTTAAACATGCATTCTGTGTAATGGCCAGCAAGTTAGCATGCAGTAAGCATGCAGTTACTTTTTTGTCTTATTTGTGCAGGTTTGATGCTGCCTCATAATTATTTAAATAATAAGTAAGAGTTCACTCTCATGGCTGATTCATTATTGTAGGATAGTTTATATACATGACGCCTTTGAAGTTTTTATGGTCTATCTTTTACACCGATGGCTGGAATAACTTTGTGATGTGAACAACAAAATGTAGGTGACATGGCATCAGTGATGATGTGAAGTGACCTGCTAGCATATACAGCGAGGTTGACAGGTGTTTTATAATGTCATTGCTAGTTTCTTAATGTCATCATAATTTACCATTTTCTGAGTATTTCCTTTTTTAACGCCAGTTTCACCATCCTCTTTCCCCTGAACAGGGCCATCTTTAACAGATTTGTTGTGTGAGGTTAGAAGCGTAGAGAGTGAAATCAGCTGGTAGAATCCCAAAGCAGACTGCACTAATGAAATGTTATGACTATAAATTCTAAAGTGGGACAAGGATGACTTAAAACCAGCGGTGGGATTAGGGCAGGGACGAGGAGAAGCCACCTGCTGGGGCTGTGTCCCTGGCTAGTGGTGGGTGGCTGCAGAAAGACGCAATTAACCAGCGCTATACATGAATAAAATAGAATAATACGTTTAACTGACTAGTTTCTTTTGTTGACTAGCGAGATTAACAACAATTTATTTTACTTCGTTTAAGAATGCTTGATTCTG